TTGTCACAACCATCTTGTGACGCTGGGTCCACGTTATGATGCGACAGCGCCCCGCTTGTCTCTCCTCCTGCACTTCCTTCCCGGTGCGTTCCTCCTTCCTCGCATGTTTGCTTCCGCCCTCCGCATGCCAAGCAGGTCGACACACCCCGCACGCATTTCGTGACCCCATAGGGAGCTCCACCGAAGCAGCATTCGCATGCACCCGTGAGGCCACAGAGGCAGCATTCGCATGTACCCGCGCCATCCAGTACAGCGCGCCGTGGCCCCACCGTAGGCATGAGAGGCCGTATTCGTACGCGTCCGCGCCACCCAGTACACCGCGCCGTGGCCCTATAGGGAGTCCCACCGAAGGCCCCAGAGGCCACGTTCGCACGCACCCACACCACCCAGTCCAGCGCGGCACCACAGGGAGTTCCACCGAAGGCCCCAGAGGCAGCGTTCGCAGGCGCCCGCGCCACCCAGCACAGCGCTTCTTGTCTCAACAGGGAGCCCCACCGAAGGCCCCAGAGGCCGCGTCCGCATGCGCCCGCGCCACCCAGTACAAGGCAGCCCCATAGGGGGCTCCACCGAAAGCCCCAGTGGCCGCGGCAGCATGCGTCCCCCCCACCCAGTACAGCGTCTCGTGGCCCCATAAGGAGCTCCACCGAATGCCCCCATGGCCACGTTCGCAGGCGCCCGCGCCACCCAGCACAGCGAGTCGTGGCCCCCTTAGGGAGCCCCACCAAAAGCCCCAGAGGCCGCGACCGCATGCTTCCCCATCCACCCAGTACGGTGGTGCTGCGTGGCCCCATATTGAGCTCGGCCGAAAGCCCCGGTAACCGCGGCAGCATGCGTCTCCCCCACCAAGTATTACGTTTCGTGGCCCTCCGCCGAAGGCCCCAGAGGCCGCGTCCGCATGCGCCCCCCCCTTCCCCCCCCCCGCCCACTACAGCGCGTCGTGGCCCCATGGGGAGCTCCACCGAAGACCCCAATAGCCGCGACCGCATCCCCACCTATCACAGAACACCCCTCACGCGCTTCGCGGCCCCATAGGAGGATCCACCGAAATCGGTACCCACAACGCGCCACCATTCACAATTGCATATGGTTGGGGCCTCCGCCGGGATACTTAACATTGGGGGGGGTCTTGATTCGCGCACAGGCGTTCCCATCTTCCCTCCTTTTTCTCCCCATGGAGGAGGGGGAGGAGGAGGACGCAAGGAGGCAAAGAGAAGGGGAGTCAAGAGGAGCCAAGCGAGGAGGGAGAGGTGGGGGAGAAGGAGGAGGAGAAGGAGGAGGAGGAGGAGGAGTAGAGGGGAGGAGGAGGAGGAGGAGGAGGAGGAGGAGGAGGAGGAGAAGCAGGAGGAGGAGGAGGAGGAAGGGAGGGAGGGAGGAGGAGGATGAGGAAAGCGAGGAGGACGAGCAGGGGAAAAGGAAGAGGGAGGAGGAGGGGGAGGAGGAGAGGGAGGGGGACCAGTGTAAACCCAAGGCCCATCAACGATGTTGCAAGAAACCCTCCCTCCAAGCTCCCTCTTCATAGGCCCCTATAAGGATTCAGTTCCACTGCGGGGAAATGCCCCGTTGGAAGACAACCGGGTGAACATCGTGAACCGTGCCAGGGCACTACTCCTGGGTTTTCAGCACCACAAATCAGCTTTACAGACTATTGCGTCTTGACGACCCTAAATCGTGCCAGAACACCGTTCCTGGGACGCCAACACCTCGAATCAACGCAATTGTTCCGCCCTGACAGTCCTTCACCGTTCCAAACACCAGTTTGGGGACGTTAACAATGATAATCCTTGAAACTGCTACAAACTCTTAAGACGAATGTGCGCGGCGCTAGGGCGAGAGACGCATCTTGGAGAGGAACCGCCCTCCATCTGTGAAGCTCTTGCATTTGTTTATAATGGTTGTACGCTGCGCTCACGCGGGAGTCCCATGTTGGAAAGATACCGCCATCCATCCGTGAAACCCTTACACTTGTTAAAGACGAATGAACGCGGCACTAAGGCAAGAGCCACGTTTGAAAAGGAACCGCCCTTCATCTGTGAAATTCGTGCAAATGTTTAAAACACATGCGCGCGGCGCTAAGGCGATGGCCCTATTTTGACAAGAGCTCGCCCTCCATGCGTGAAACAGTTGCACACCTCAAGCGTAAGGATCATGATTGGCGAGGAGGTCTCAGGCGAAACGCACTGGCCGCCCTACCGACACGACTCGGGATGCGACAGGGAGGAGCTACGTATAAGGAAAATAACGGAGGACGGGGGAAGGGAAGAGGGAGGGGAGGGGGAGGAGGAGGAGGGAGGAGGAGGAGGAGGAGGAGGAGGAGGAGGAGGGAGGAGGAGGAGGCCGGAGGAGGCGGAGGAGAGGAGGAGGAGGAGGCGGGGAGGAGGCAGGAGGAGGAGGAGGAGGAGGAGGAGGAGGAGGCGGAAGAGGAGGAAGGGGAGGATGGAGGAGGAGGGGAGGAGGAGGATAAGAGTAAGAGGAGAAAGGGGAGGAGGAGGGGGAGGAGGAGAAGTAGGAGTGGAGGAGGAGGAGGAGGAGGAGGAGGGAGAGGAGGAGGAGGGACTGGATGAGGAGGAGGGAGGCTCGAAGGAGAAGAAGAAGGAGGAGCAGGAGGACGGGGGGGCGCGGAGGCCAGGAGGAGAAGTTGGAGGGGGAGTTCAGGTCAGGTTAGGAGGAGGAGGAGGAGGAGGAGGAGGAGAAGGAGGAACGGAGGTGATGGGGAGAGGTTAGGTTAGGTTAGGGCAGCCTCGATGGGAACAGATTCGCAAGTACGTGCCCTCGGGGATGTCCTAACCTTGGGGCGTCAGATCCGATGGAACGCTGCCACAAAAACAAAACACATCATTATCAGCATGATCAGCATCATAGTCCTCAGCCTCGTCCTCAGCATTCGCATCATCATCAGCAGTCGCATCATCACCATCATCATCATCATCATCATCATCATCATCATCATAAGTATCATCCGCAGCAGCATCATCATCATAATCGTCATCATCATCATCGCCATCATCTGCATCAGCATCAGCATCAACATCATCATGGTTATCATCATCAGCATCGTCATCTTCATAAGTAGTATCATCGTTCCGCATTTCCTCTTCCTCATCGTCCCGCCAATACCAACAGCATCATCACCAGTCTTCCTCATCCTTCTCATAATCACCGTTCGTCCACCCCATTGTTGTCCCTCTTCATCCTCGTCTTGATCCTCCTGTCACTTCTCTCCCTGCTTCCCTTCACGAGGAGGAGCACGCCCCAGGTTCCCAGCGAGGGTCCTCATTGGGCCCTCCCACCTGGTGGATTCGATGTGGTGTTCGCTGCCGAGGAATTGGCGTGACGGTATCTAGGGGCTCCTACGATCCTCTCAGTCGCGATTGTTGAAATATGGCTGGCTACGATGGGGGATGTCGATAAGACGTGTTGAACTTAGACACGCCTTGGCCGCACATGGAGTTCGGACGGGTGGGCTCTGGTCTTGCGATGTTGACGCTTGTGTCGGCGATCACGAGGTGGACGTCGGACGCGTGTGGTTGATTTTGAGTTTATCGTGGATTTGAGGCGTGGTGCTCACCGCAGGGGCTTCAGGTGAGGGGGAGGCGACGGAGGAGGGGGAGAAGGGGAAGGGAAAAGAGCAGCCTTATTGTAGCACCCGAAGCCAGCAGGAGGAGGAGGAGGAGGAGGAGGAGAAGGAGGAGGAAGAGGAGGAGGAGGAGGAGGAGGAGGAGGAGGAGGAGAGAGACGAGGTGGCTCCCCCGTGGCACGAAGAAGAGCAGCAGTTGCAGGATGATGCCGGATCACAATGCGTGTTGAACATTTGCGGAGTTCGTTGTGTGTGGAAACCTGTGTGCAGAAACGACGAGGACTACAAGCGACCACCGGAGGCAGTGCCACAGGCCAGGGCCAGCGGGGGAGAAAATGCGGGAAGCCACAGGAATCCATGCTGTCACAAGGAACAGTGCCACACGCAGGGCCAGTTCTCTAGAGCCAGAGTGAATCTCTCGGCGCGTGCACTGTTCGGGGAAATACGAACAGCCACCAACGATGAGAACACAGCGCGGACGTATTGAATGTGTATCCCATAGTGTTTGCATTCATTGGTGGCCAGGTTTAAAAACAATTCGCTTTGCTCACGAGGATGATTATATAGTCACTTGACCCCAGGTGGCGATGGAGACCGCGATGCACAGACTACTGTCTGAGCAGGATGGCCAGCTTGCCGAGCTTGCGATGTCACTCTTGATGAGAGCGATCAAATCCTCGTGTTATTTACGCGTGATTGTGGTACTCACCATGGTGCGCTTGTTCTTTGGAGACGGGAGTGACCAACGAATCGAACGTGAAATGCACACTAGCTGGAGTGAGGCTCGCCATCGCCGCCGGTTCTGAAAGAATCTGCAATGCCCCCAGGGAAGCGCGCATCCGATGCTCGCCATGGCCAGGCCGACAGTATCCCCCAACGTGCACCTCGAAGGCCGTCGATTCCGTTCCATTAAAGCTTGGCCGACGTCCAGGTCCCTAAGAAGCATGCTTTGTGATGCACGCAGGGACATGTAGAGGTCTCCAACCAGGCAGCGCCTTCGAGGGATCGAGACTTTGACATCTCCACCTCGGCGGAGGCCAGCGGAAGCCAGCGGCAGCTCAATACTGGCGGATCCGCAGGTGGAAGTTCGGCGGAAGTAAGCAAGAACCCTCCCAGAGTGTTTGTGGAGGATACCATGTTCTTTGCGTCTTGTCGTCTCCTCGTCGGGAAATGATTGAAACTTGTCACCTGCGTGTCTATGCAGATACGTGCGGCAGAAAGCGTTCGCTAAAGATCGATGGACGTCCTGGGGTCTCAGGGTTGGGTTTCTTGTGGAAGGCTTCTTGTGGTCGAGCCCCTACTGTAGGGTGAGGTTGGGGTTGAGGTTTGCACAGCTCCCTTATTTGATCTGAGATGCCCTGGGTCTTGTCCCTGCCGTTCCCGTGGCCCACCCATCCAGGAGCAGCAACAGGAGCTGGCCACTGCCATGGCGGAGCGGGCGGCGCGGCTTCACGAGGAGGCTGCGCAGGTGGCTCCCTTTGTGGCAGGGGGGATTTGAGGGCATGGCCATGAGAAGGATGACCTTGGCGAAGCAACACGTGACAACGATGGCGACCGCGATGGCACCTGCTGCTGCGGTTTCGAGGACGACGGTCACCTTGCTTATATCGACGGCGAGAACTCGAAGGCGATGCAGAGATGGATACAGTCAGCCCGCGTAGTAAGGATGAGCGACTTTCCATGGTTACCCTTACACCCTTTCCTACGGCCCATCCTTGGCCGCTTTCGCTGGCCGCGCCCCGCCCGCAAAGTGTCGCGTCCTTGTTATACGGGTTGACTGTAAGCGTCCAGAGCCCGAGGAGGAGCGAAAAGATGTTGAGCACATGTACAGGAGTGATTCTGGTGATGGCGACGCCGACGACGCCAAGGAGAGAGAAGGGCGCAGGCCTTCGGAAAACCTGAAGACCCAGACTCCTTCCCTTGACTCCGGACGATTCGATTTTTGTTCGTGTCGCCGGCTCCCAGATATCCCGCCTTCTTCCGCAGGATCGGGTTTCATCCCAGGTCGTTTTTGTTCACAGCTCTGGGGACAGGAAGCGGATCGAAGATGCCGAGAATGGAGAACAATCTTGGTGCAATTTTGTCGAGTCGCCAGAGGTTTGGGGGCGAGGACCCGTTGTATTGTTTGTGTTGCGCCGTTGTTAGTGGACCCTAGGGGGGCCAACAAGGGGCCTCCCCGGGGGCCGGGAGCGTGGAAAAGGCCGGCTGGCCCGGTTTGTCAGAGGCTTGGGTTTCCTTTGAAGTCCCCCCAGACCCCCGACGTCGTCCCTTTTTGCAACGCAGGTGCCCTCGCGATGCGAAAAGCATCACGGCGGAAGGTGTTTGGCAATTTTCAGCCTCCAGGGGGCACATTCCCTTGGTTCAGGGACTGGCCCGGTTGTGAAAGAAACACGACGTCGGAGGTCTGGGGGAGGGGCGGGGGGCAAGCTAGGTACGCTCGCGTCATATCTGACGTCCTACCCGTCCCTCCCATCCCTTTCCATGGCGTAGATCTCTCTATTCGCACAGTCGGATGTCGCAGCATGGCATAGCATGGTGTTGAAGATCAACGCGTAGCATGACATGCGTAGCGTGGCGTGGCGACGCCCCACAGTTGGGGGGGGCTTCTGCGGCCCAAAGAATCAACGAACCGGTACCGAATGTGTAATTACTTCCGATGGTTTTTTAGGATTAAGCCGGGAATATTCAAAGATTGTCCAAAACATAGTCTGGGGACGAATCTTTTTAAACCATATTGGAATACGTTTAGGCATTGCTGGGCTATTTCTCACTTTTCGTCCACAATCCGCCCGTAGAGGACATGCCCGACCTAATTTTAGGGGCGGGGGGAAGGGAGGGCGAAGCGGCAACAGACTCGCAGCAGCCAGGGGCGCACCTCCTCGCCCGTGTGCATCTTCTCGGCGGCGGGCTGGGGGCGGGGAGGGGAATCCTCCAAAAACCTCACTCGAATAACGTTTCTGGGGAATGTGTCAACAAAGTTTTTAGGAGGAATCCCCAAAAAACCTTCCAAAACACCTCCCTGAGGAAGACTTGCAGGAGGAATCTTCAAAAAAACTGCCAAAAAGCCTTCCGAAGGAGGTGGTGGGGGGGGAGGGAGCAGGGAAGCAGCCCGCTGAGAGCTGAGGCCCGCGAGCAAGCAATACACGAGGGTGGGAAGCCAATCCCAGACCCCCTCGAGTATAGTAAAATTCGTGACGGGAGGTTTTTCTCCATTTTCAGCCTCCGGGGGCCCTTAGCGGGCCTCGGGACCGTCAAAGAACGATTCGGGCTGAAACACCGGTCCCTGGAAATAGGTCGAGACCTCGGGAGGTCGACGCAATGAAAAAATCATGACGTCGGGGGTCTGGGATATTGGGGATGGGTTCGGGGTTTGGGGCCCAACGTGGTGGATAAAGGCGGGAGCTTTGGGCTCGAAGAAGACAGCCAAGTTCTCAAAAGGGAACGGCCCTCTTGAGGTCATGCCCCCCATGCCTTGGAGAGGCGGGGGGCGTTCTGCCAGGAGGATGCCCCACTGATTAACCCTGCCCCCGTGAGCGGGCCGTGAATAACCTTGCCCACGCAATTGAGGCATACTGTGGTCCCAGGAGTGGGGTGGGGGCGGTGAGCACTGGGAGGCATCGCGAGGGTGTCTCGAGCGCAGAGGGTCTACGGGATTAGATGTCGCCAGCCGAAATGATATTCCCAGCTCTTCCTCCCGCTTCTCGTCCTGATTCCCCGAGACCGTTCTGGTTCGAGGAGCACGCATGTTTACAAGGCACTACAACAACACCGAAGCTGTCCCGCTGGTCTGGGGCTCGCTTGCAACATCTGATCAGCAAGCCAGCATGGCCCCACCTATGGCATTCGCGGTTGTCGGAGCATTCGTTTTCATGGCCCTTGCAAATTTCTTGGCCATGAAGAAGTTCTTCGGTGGCAAGGACAACAAGGAGATATCCGACTCGAACCCGACCTTCGTAACGCCAGATGGGGCCACATTCGGCATATGGGGCTTCATATACATGTTGGAAGCGCTCTTGGTCTTCGCGCAGGTGTATTGGGCCAATGACCCTGAGAATCAGCATTTGATGGGCCAGCTATGTCCTCTGACCGGGATGGATGTCAGGGCCAGGCTGATCTTGGCCTTCGTCGCAAACGGGATTTGGCTGCCAACCTTCAACAACGAGTGGTTTGTGGCAGGCCTTGGGATCATGGCCGCCTACTACGGCTTCCTGCTCAGCGTATACTACAGCTTGTCCTCTGCCAGCCACGGCCTGACCCAGGCGGTGATCTACGTGTCTGGGATCTCGATGAACACCAGCTGGATCACAGTGGCCACGGTGCTCAGTGCCTTCTTCTGCGCGGGCAGGGCCGGGTGGCGAGACAGGAACGGCGTGGCGGGGTCCCCGCTGGCGGCAAAGGCCGTGGTGGTCGGCGTGGCGCTCGTGGCCATCGCTTGCCTTGCGCGCTGTCTGGACATGGCCTGGGCGTTCACAGCCGCGTGGGCCCTCCGAGGAATCTTCCGGATGCAGACGATCGACGACAAGGTCAGGTTCCCCATCGGTTCCCTCGACGACTCTTTGGGACGTCTCGCGCGCACCGCGAGCTACTCGGTGATCGGCGCCATGCTGGTCGGCGCGCTCTACTACTTCCGCCGCGGTGAGCCGGGCAGGTTCTGACCTGGGGGCTTCTTGTTCCAGGCGATAGTTCAGGAGAGGGGAGACGAGGCAGAGGAAGCAGGAGGAGCGAGGAGCAGAGGAGGAAGAGGAGGAGGAGGAGGAGAAGGAGGAGAATGAGAAGGAGAAGTAGAAGGAGGAGGAGAAGGAGGAGGGAGAAGGAGGAGGAGGAAGAGGGAAAGGAGGAGGAGGAGGAGGAGAGAAGGAGAAGTAGAAGGAGGAGGAGAAGGAGGAGGAAGAAGGAGGAGGAGGAGGAAGAGGGAAAGGAGGAGGAGAAGGAGGAGAAGGAGAAGGAGAAGTAGAAGGAGGAGGAGAAGGAGGAGGGAGAAGGAGGAGAGGAGGAGGAGGAGAAGGAATGAGGAGGAGGAGGAGGAGGAGGAGGAGGAGGAGGAGGAGGAGGGGGATGAGGGAGCATTCGGACCCAGAAGAGTGGCCCTCGCTGGGGCGGGATCGCCATTCTGAACGACGGGGGCAGAGCGCCGATCCTATAGTGAGGCCAGTGCTGCAGCGGGAGCACCGCTTTGAGACACCTTCATTATATAACAATTGGGGGCAGGGGAGGGGGGAGGGGGGAGGGGGAGGGAAGGGAAGTGAAGGGAGGAGGGAGGGAGGAGGGAGGAAAGAAGGGAGGGTGAGGGAGAGCAGTAAGGAGGGAAGAGGGAGAGAGAGAGAGAGAGAGAGAGAAAGAGAGAGAGAGAGAGATGGAGGGAGATGGGAGGAGAAGGGGAAGGCGGAGAGTGGAGGGAGGCTGCTGCTGCTGCCGAACGTCGGCATGCGCGTGTGCGGTGCTCGAACGTGCGTCTGCTCTTACACCAACTAAGAAAAGACAGGCCTCGGAAAAATAGCGAACACTCATGCCACATTCGTCTGTCAACGCCTCCCCCTCCCCCCAATGTTCAAAGTTGGCGGTGGGTCTGATGAGTTGCACCTCGACCGCAGTCTCCCCCGCGCGTGCCAACTTCGAGTTTGGGGGGAGGGGGAGCGTTCAGTAATTGTCTCCCTCTACCAGATGAGCTGGCAGAGAAGACAACAAGGAAACGAGTAGGAGGAAAACCATGAAGCAAGGCAGCCCCGCCGTGCTTGCTCCTCCTTGCCGTTCAGTGCGTCGGTCCGCGCAGGGGCGGAGAAGGAAGAAAAAAAAACCTGCGAGGTTTTGACGGGCACCCGTCGGGAGTCCAACACCTGCCTCCGTGCGGGCGGCGCTGCGGCGGGAGGCCTCCTCTTCGGTTTTGCAGCAGTGCGCTGCAAGCTGGGATTCGGAAGGGGAAAGGGGAGCGGGCGGGGGGGGGAAGGGCCGAGAGAGGGGGAGGAGAAAATAAGTCCCAGGCAGGCTCCTGCTCCGAAATGGCCTGTGCCTCGAGGGCCTCTGCGACTTGGTCCTGACAAGGGCAAGGATCCGCAAGCTGACTGGCCTGCTCCCTGTGGGTGTCCTCTCCAGACTCCTCATCTGACTCAAAGATGCGAGCCCGCTCTGGATCGACTCGAGAGCGGTGCCTGCTACCACGCTCAGGCCTGACAACATCAGGCGCCACATCATACTTAAGATCGTCCCCGGCCGAAAGGGGCAGGCAGAATTCCTTCAAGCTGTTTAAAACACTGGGCATGTCGCACTCCCACGGAGCCTCTAAGCCTTCGACTGGCCCGAGCAACTGGGCAAGACAATCACCTACGCTGGCAGCAATGGCGGAGCACACCCCAGGAGCGTATGACTTCTTACTGGCCGTCCGAAATTAGCCCTGAGCATTCTTGCCCAAGAGAGTCTGATGAGCCCCTTCCCGTGTGGGCACTTGCCCGTCCCAGGGGGTGTCCTTCAACCTGCCATGCAAAGAATCCATGCGGAGAGCCACCACACACGTCGGGGCACGACCATGGGAGGCGGGGTCGGCCCGGAGACCTTGATGTTCGCATTGGTCAAACATTGCGGTGTTGTTACAGGGCGAGGCGGCCAGGGCCAGACGAGGGGGCCACCTGAAAGAGGTAGGGGCCTTGAGGGCCCACAGGGCAGGGGCTGGGTGCTCTAACCAAGCCCCCGTCCCCGCGCTCAAATGATCAGCCCTCAACCGGACAAGGGCAAACAAAAGCATGCTACCTACACGAAGTTGCTCGCTTAGACGCGAACTTGCCTTCACCACAGGAGATGGGAACGTTGCACATAACTTTAGCCGACAAACGAGGCAAATGCTCGAAAAAAGAAGCCAGGTCTGCTGCAGGAACACTAGGCGCAGCCTCTCCCAACCCAAAGTGATCGACCCAACGACTGGCGACGCCGACGAACGTTCTGAGTGACTCCCCATCCCGACCCAACAACGTTGGCAGCGGCTTGGCAGCGAGCTTGCGGCGCGAGCAGGCGCCCATGGCGCGCATCTTGACAAAGGCTCCCACCAAGTCTTTGCGTCATCAGGCACCGGCCACCTCCGCAGCAAAGTCGGCCGTGTACCGCTTGGCATCCAGCTTGACACGATGGTTAACCTCTGCCGTGTGCATACCCAGAGATAGACTGCGGAATTTATTTGAAAAGACGTAAAGCCCAAGACACGCCTCCCAAGAGTCAGCAATAGTACAAGCTTTCCCCATCCCAATATCAATATCAACGAGCTTGCCGAGGGAAACAAATACACAGTCTGGAAAATCCAAGCTCGACCCTTAGAGCGCCTAAGCCAGAAACGCACCACTGCCTCATAGACCTTACCAGTGTCCCCAGCCACTGACCTGAGCAGCTGTACTGCAACGCGGACTTGGCGAAGCCAACCTTGATGGATAGACCGAGGGCGACCTTGAGAGATACTAAGGCAACCTGAGCGAGCATTAAACCAAGCCCCTCTAAGCGGGACCGCCCAGGCGTCGAAGAGCAAGGCAAGCTGCGCACGACGGCATTTGACACCCAGACGCCGAAGCTCACGAAGTTTGATGGTCCTCCTGTGTATGGCCCCCAGAGACTCCTTAGGTACCCAAGGTTGCCTAGGCGTGCGACCACGATGCGTTTGAAGAACAGGAAGCGCCATCTCGAGAGCCGAACGATGAGACCATAACATCTGACCGTGCTCGGACGTAGGAATGTCACATTACACAGTAGGCCCCACTTGCAGCAGCTCTTGAAAATGAGCACGAGCCTCAACATCCTGAAAGCCAGCAGTATCACACTGCAACCTGCGAAGCGAGCATGGATGGAGACACTGAGCAGAAGCAAGGATACTGGCGAGAACACCAACGGGCAAGCGGTCAAGTAAAGAGATCGCCCGATCAACCTCCTTAAGCACTTTCTGCTGCTCGACTTGCACGCCGAACACATACAGCATAGTCGATACGATGCCTGGGACTGTCGGATTTGCCAGGAGGGAACCGCGCACTGGCTGACGACTGCACAGAGTCCAGGAAGGTCGACGGCGCCCAAAGGTCCAGGTCCCTGAGAAACTTGTGAAAACACTGACCAGGGAGATTTTGAGCAACACCAGCAATAGGTTCGATATGCCCCGACACAACAGACCCCACACGAGCAGTGGCACCCATCAAACAGACAAGCTCTGACCCAGAAGAGCGATACCGACGAATAAAAAAATGAGCGGTCCCACCAAGCGTGCAAGGCAGGAACGGTAGTTGTGCCGTGAGGTGCGCGGCATACAACCACGACAAGTTTAAATTGCTTGACGGCAATAGAGACAAAAATCAGGCGAGGATCGGCAAACAGCACTCGACAGCGCGCAGCACCAATCGTGGTACCTGGCAATACTGCACAAGACGTGTTCACCCACAAGACGCACCCGTACTCACCATCGGAGGTACATTCAGCATGTATGACATGGTAGCCCTGACTACGAGAGGTCCCACTCCGAGAAAAAAACAGGTTTCCAGGGCCCCAGTCAGGAAGAGCCCCTGACGATGAATCATGCCCCCCAAGTGCCTCATACGCTCAGACATGTACAAACCAGTAAAACGATTACGCTTAGCACGTGCAGGCGCCTTCGGGTAGAAGGTCAGCACATTGGCTGCAACTATCCATGGGGGCTTGGTGCACATCGCTTGGCAGCCTGCGGCCGAGGACCCATCGGCAGCGACAGGAGGCGCTCCCTCTGCACGCAAGCCAAGCAGCGAAACTAAAATCCCAGCTGAGTCTGCATCTGGACGGTATGGAGGCATAGGTATTCCACCAGTGGGGGGAAATTGAACCTGAAACATGCGAGGCTCAGAGGCCCACCAAGCCCAACCTACAGCCACGGGGTCCAACGAAACAGATCTCCACGAATCGTCAGGTTCGCATTACAGAGGGTGCCCCATGGACGTAAGGGTAGCAAAAGTGTCTACAAGTTCGTTCCAAGGGTGCCCAGGGTGCCCAGGTACGTAGTCCCAGCAAATACTGGGAGCAAAAGCCTTAGCCACCTTAGCTACACTATCTAGGGCAAGACGATGCACACTAAGCGAATCACTGAGCGCGCCGCCTCCAGGAATTCTGAGGGCCTCCTGACAGTCAGCAAGAATGGGCAGCGGAACTTTCCAATCACGACATTCGGCTTGCAGAAACCAAGCGAGGGCCCACTGAGCAACCACGATCTCCGAGGCGCGATCCGATAAATTCGCAGGAATATCCTCAGACTCCAGAGTGCCAGGCATGAACCCCAAGAGAGCACCATGACCAGCAGCATCGCACACGAACACGGCAAAGGCCCAGGCAGGGGGGCCGACTTCAGGACGAGCGGAAGAGCCAGAAGTCCAAGACCCCAAGCGAGATCCGCCGCAGCCGTCAGTATATCGATATATAGGGATAGAGATTACTTCCCCCAGCTCCTCAGGAAAAGACAGCAGCGGTAATTCAGCAATGGTAGTCGAATGCCAATGCTTAGCGAATGCCCCGAATTGCTTACAGAGACCTATGGACCAGGGCCTCAGAAGACGATCAACAACCTGATTGGCGCGGGGGGGCATGAGATTGTGCGAACAGCCACGAATATGATGGCCATGATCCTCCTCAGAAGAAGTGGAGCGTAGTGGTAAGCCCGAGAAAAGGGCAGAAGCAGGCACAGATTGAGACCCGAGGCCTGTCGGATCATCAAGACCCCGCTCTCGGGTTAATGAAAAATTTGCTGAGATGCTCCAGCTACTGGGGCTGGACGACAATCTGCATCGCACGGCTGCGTAGCATCCCCAGTTGCTCTTGCAACGAGTAATGCACCAAGCATGCTGTCGGACATGTCGTCCGCCTCTGCTGCGAGCCTGCTCTTCCTCTGCAGGCAGATCTCCACCGGGACGAACGAGCTTGACATTGCCAGGCGAGTTGGCGACCGCCCGCGGCCATGCAAAGTCGCGATGCTGTGCAACGGATGGACTCGCCGCAGCCCCCTTCTTGCGCCCACCTTTGCCAGCGGCAACAGGGCCATCCTCTCCAGGCACACTGGCAGCCGCTGCAGCCGTCTGCGCACTCAGCGCAGAGAGGTTGGCCTGGACAGTCTGAAGCGTGGCAGCGACCGAGGCGATACTCTGAACCAAACCAGCCTGACCCAGCTGCAACTGAGCGATCACTTGCGGCAATGCCGGAGAAGCCGCTGCACCTTCTCCAGTCTGACAGGGCGAGACCGCCGCAGTTTGCCCGAACATGTTGGTGGCCTCCGCGTCGGACTGGACCTGGAAGACCACGGACTTGGCCTCCAGCTCCGACAGGGCCTCGAATCCATTGAGCGTGACAGACGCATGCGAGAGGTCCTGCTCCAAGCTCTGACGGTGAAGGACCGCTGCTGCCAATGCAGCTTGCGCCTCCTTCTCTACAGCTTGGGCCTGCTCCAGACGTTTGGAAGCACGCTCCACGTACGAGCGCTGGTTCTGCGCTCTTTACTTGGCAGTGTAGGCGAACAAGCACATGAACTGCAACAACGACAATTCCACCTCGCACTCGATCATGCGGGACGTATCTGTCTTCAGCTCCTTCAGGGACAAAATGCGCCTCTCGAGCGCAGTAATGGAATCCTTCACGTGATGGCGATGCTTGGCACGATCTGCTGGCACCGACGGCGGCTCGACCCAGGCAGGATGAGCTTTCGCCACACTGAGCGTCGCAACGGCGATGGACTTGCTGGACACGGCAGAATAAGTAGGTGCAGCAGCCGCAGCAGCCTTTGATGGGGCCACCGCATCCGATGAGACTGCACTCTCCTGTGACGACGCTGAGGCAGGTCGACCCGCACCACGAGACACAGAACGATCCTGGCGGCCTTTGGACATCTGGGACTTGGACTTGACGTTGGGACTGTCTGGCCAGCACTGAAGACACCAAGCAGACGAAGCTGCGAGGCCCCATAACGCGAGCAGAACCATTATTCGGACTTCTTTGCACATGGCGGGCTGCGGCCACCCATGGCATTGTGATGTGACTTGAGAGTAAGTCAAGCACCAGCAACTCGGATGAGTGAGCGTGCCGCAGATCGATGCTCGCGAGCGCGCCGATGCCAGGCAGGCTCCTTGTCTCGTCGACGGCGAGGGAGCTCGCGCGCCGTCGTGGGTGCGATCTGGCACCCGACAGCACGGCCAGCCCGCGGCGGCCGCGGAGCAGCACGTATAGCAGCCGATGCCGAAGAGGCTCGCAGAGCGGAGGTACAAGGTGTCTGGGCGCTGCACCCAAAGCCTCGAACCGGGACGGCGGCTAGAGGAGGGAGGAGGAAGGAGGGAGGGACGAGGGACGAGGAGAAGGAAGGAAAAAGGTAAGAGTAGGATTAGACGGGGGGATCGTCGAAGGGCGTCCCCTCCGAGTGAGTCATGGTTTTTCCTTTGTGCTCATTTTTCCGCCCAGTCCACAGACAGACTGGTCTCGAACGGCGAAGGGCCGGTCCTGTACAGGGCACGGTCTTGTTTGCACCACTACAGCGGCAGAGGTTGCGCCACAGCGGTTGCTTCTCCTCCCCTCCCCTCCCCCCCTGCCTCGACATCCTCCTCGTACTCATTCTCGTCCTCCTTCCCTGCTCCTTCCCTTCGTTCCTCGTTCCCCCTAATTCCCCCTTGCTCCCTACATCCTCCATATATCAACCCTTCCTTCGACATTCCTCTTTCCTGTCCCGCATATTATTCCTCCGCCTGTTCCCCTACTCCGCCTCCTCCTCCTCGTCTTCATCCTCATCGGCATCCTCATCCTCATTATCCTCATCAGCAGCATCATCATCTGCATCATCACTATGGTGAATCATAATCAGCAGCAGCTGCATCCTCTTTTCCATCATCATCATCTTGATTATCAACATCGTTGTCGTCGCCATCATGAACATGTTCGTCGCCAATAACATCATCTTCAGTACCTGCAGCAGCAGTGTCATCGTTATCACCACCAGATTCATCATTATCGTGATCACCATCATCATCATCATCAGCATCATCATCATCAGCCGCAGCATCATCATAACCATCAGCATCTTGATCAGCATCATCACCATCATCATCATCATCATCCGCAGCAGCAGCATGATCCGCCCTTCTTCTCCTGCGCCCTTAATTGGAATCTCTATTCGAATGCGAAGCAGCAGGGGTTGGCAACAACCACCTGACGACGTCGAGAAGTGGAGCGACGCAGGGCGTGCCAGGGGAACGCATCGGCCCAAGTCGCCAAACTTTTATCTGCAATACGGGCCCGATAGCCCACAGCGCCAGGGAGTCGCTATCGGAGGCATGTAGCCGATCTATCGACCATGTATCGCCGATTCGAGGTCGATGTTTCCCCCGTTGAGCCAGTCCCACCCTAACGTTCCCCCCTAAGGGGAATTTCTGCACGGCTTGCAACTTCCACCTGGCGACGTCGAGAAGCGGGGCGGCGCAAGGCTGTGTGAACTGGCAGAGCCGAAAGCACACCACCGGAAGGCTAAGCGGGAGCCTCGTCAACGCGAGCATCGCCAGGTCCACGGATCCTCAATCCATGTTAGCGCGTGCCCGAGAGTTGCCTCCAGCTCGGCCGAGTCAGAGGCAGTTGTGTCCAGGTTCCCTGTGAAGTGGCGTGGCAAAGCCGTACTGCCCAGATGTTTGCGCAGCGGTGGCTGGGGGGGCTGAGAAGCCAGGCGGCGCAAGGCAGCGTGGAGCGGCAAAGCGGAAAGCACCACGGGCAGGCCAAGCGGGAGCTTCGTCGTCGTGGGCATCGCCGCTGCCGCCCTCGTGCGCCCCCCCCCCGGTCCCAGGCGGTCGCGGGCTCCGCGCACCTGCCCGAGCGGCAGGAGGCGCTGGAGAGCTCCCTGAGGTCGCGGCGTGTCCTCGCCGTCTCGGGGGGCGGCCCAGTTGAGATAATTCGGGAGCTCCTCGTCATGCTCCTCCTCCTCCTCCTCCTCCTCCGCCTCCTCCTCCTCCTCCTCCTCCTACTACTACTACTACTACTACTACTACTACTACTACTACTACTTACTACTACTACTACGACTACGACTACGACTACGACTACGACTACTACTACTACTACTAGACTACTACTACTACTACTACTATACTACTATTACTACTACTACTACTACTACTACTACTACTACTACTACTACTACTACTACTACTACTACTACTACTACTACTACTACTACTACGACTACTACTACTACTACTACTACTACTACTACTACTACTACTACTACTACTACTACTACTACTACTACTACGACTACTACTACTACTACTACTACTACTACTACTACTACTACTACTACTACTACTACTACTACTACTACTACTACTACTACTGCTACTACTACTACTACTACTACGGACTACGACTACTACTACTACTACTACTACTACTACTACTACTACTACTACTACTACGACTACTACTACTACTACTACTACTACTTACTACTACTACTACTACGACTACGATCACGACTATTACGACTACAACTATTGCTACTACTGCAGTTACTATAGCTATTACCACGACTACTACTACTGCTACTACTACTACTACTACTACTACTACTACTACTACTACTACTACTACTACTACTATTACTATTACTACGACTACGAGGACTAGTTTGACTTCTACGAGTACTACTACTTCTACTACTCTTACTACTACTACTACTAGTACTACTACTACTACTACTACTACTACTACTACTACTACTGCTACTACTGCTACGACTACTGCTATTATTATTACTACTACTACTACTACTACGACGACAAGTACTGCAATTACCACTACTACGGCCACGACTAACTACTACCACTACTACTACTACTACTACTACTACTACTACTACTACTT